AAAAAAAAAAAAAAAAAAAAAAAAAAAAAAAAAAAAAAAAAAAAAAAAAAAAAGGGAATAAAATCTTCTAAACTTAATTACATAAACATAATTTCCACATCTATAACTGTTCCATTTATTTCTATTTTATAATTACTCATTTATTCTTTATTTAACTAAACTCATTTATTCTTCTACATACCCAAGACAAAAAAAAAATCTTTGTATAAACAAGATAGTAAGAGAGAACATGAAAATATTTCTTCCCATAAATAAGACTGATGACAGGAATTATATTCTTTTTTTCTGTCCCCACCCAATATACACCCGCATATAAAATATTATTGAATTTATTACCATATTTATATTTTAATTCTATCCGAAAATAAAATTATTTATTTAAAAAAAAATTAAATAAATAATATATTTTAAAAATAAAATCTTGACAAGAACTAGAACCTTACCAAGAATCTACCGCCCATTGATAGAGATGAGAAGAGAGAAGATTTACCTGCATGTAAATATTTCAGTTATAACAGAGATGGGCACAAAAGTACAGCGAAGGGAACATTTTTCAAAATCAATTATTAAATTTAAATTATAATATATAACTCTGATTTTTATTGGATAATGGATATCATGTAATAAAAAATTATTCCAACCATAAAGGGTAGAAAAGAAAAAACGTATTGAGTTGCAAATATGGAAGATAATTACCCATCATGCAACACTAAATGTTAAATTTCCATTAGACCTAAACGCAACATCTTCATTGGACATTAAAAGTGAGAATCCCCTATTAAATAGAAGGTAAAAATACCTTCCGTTTTAGATTTAGATTTATTTGTTGTGGTAAAATAAAAAATTATTATCAGTATTTATGTAAAGTATTTGTATATCCATAAAAAAAGAGATTCTAAATACCGTAGAAGTTAATTTTTTCCCCTAAAAAAAGAAAAAGAAAAATTATAACTGAGATATTTCTCTCTGGAAGATTAAAGATTAATATAACATATCTAGCATCTTAGGCAGCTAAAGAGATAGTGAGATGAACACAAAACCTTTTTATTTGATCAAAAGAGGTGAAGAAGAGCCTTACCATTGCTATAATCTTAATCGCTACACCTGACTTAAATTCAAACGTAAAAATCATCTTCACGAGATTTGAAGCATTAAGTAAAAAAACCGAGTTAGAGTTAATATTTTTCAACAGTTTAAAGAGTGTTCAAATTTGATGAAAATTGACACCACATGTTAAGTAGAAAAACACTCCAAAGTGTCTAAGAATTTTGTGACTTTTTTTTTTTTTTTTCGTTTTTCAAATGAGTCTTATTGGGATATTAAAAAAAGCTTCTTTCTCGTTTCACTTACTAATACTCACTAATACTCACAAGGGATCGCATTAATATTAAGATGAGATAAAAACACCTTGAAGTAAAAATCTCAAAGTTGACTAGAGAGGCAAGTTAAGTCATTATACAAGCAATCTAAGTCAAGTCCATAGGAAAGTTATATTGACAATATTAAGATACTTCAAAGTACACAAGAAATTATGAACTATATTATATTAGACGTTTTTGAAGGTAGTACTAAAGACTTGAAATTTACAAGTGACTCCATTTTCATTCCTTGGAGGTGGAGCTATATCTTGAAAATCTTCCAAACAAACGAGTATAATATCATGATTCACAATAGAACTTAAATTAGAATATGCATGCAGAGTGATAGCTAAACACCCATTGGAAGAGCTACAATAAATTGAATATAATGGAAACCCTCGACATATAAGACAGAGATAAACAATCACACAACTACTTTACAGGGGAATTATCCCAATTGACTTCATTAGGTGAAAAAAAAAAAAAAAAAAAAAAAAAAAAAAAAAAAAAAAAAAAAAAAAAAAAAAAAAAAAAAAAAAAAAAAAAAAAAAAAAAAAAAAAAAAAAAAAAAAAAAAAAAAAAAAAAAAAAAAAAAAAAAAAAAAAAAAAAATTGTAGATCCGCCTATCTTAAGGTGGACCAAAGACCTAACTAGAAAGTTGGTTGAAAGTTTATAAGCATAAGAAAGTCTATCTTAAGGTTGACCAAGGAGAAACCCGACTTACACATTGGAGATCTGAAGATCTAAGTCCCAAGGGCAGACCGGTCTCTAAATAATTTGATGAGCACTTCCTTTGAAATTTTCGAGATAGTGCAAGTGTGGTTTTTCTATGCTTTTAAAGATTTCTATATACAATGTTTTTCATAGGAACCACCTATGTGAGTGTTAAAGAGTTACTCCTATGGGAGTTCTAAAACATGAATTCTCTAATTGTTAAGATGAGAAATTGAGTGACTTTCAAAACTTAGTTTCCTGAAACTAAAATGATTGACAGTCTAGTAAACTTGATTGATCTTTCACAAGGAAAGTTCAAAATTTTTATTGCTTATCCTCATACAAGTTTTTCATTGGGAAAAGGGCAAGCTTTTTTATTTTTATTTACGGCTTATCACAAAAGATAAACCTATCTTTTATGTAGGGAATTGCTGGAATGAATGGTAAATGATTCTTCCATGTGTAGCATCATTTATATATGTGGATTGTGATTCTTTCATGAGTTGCATCATTTCGCATCCATGGGCTATATTCCTTCATCCATTGGTCAAGTATTTTCCCTATTTCAACCAATTAGTAGAAGAGCCACAACTATGTGAATGACTATGAATTAGCTATAATGTGTATCTTCTCCAAATTACAAAAATAACGCACTTCTCCCATCAAAACTTAGTTGAAGCTCAGCTTGTTCCACATAGTATTATTCACTAAACTTGTAGAATGAGGTATTGCACTTATAAGAAGGTAATTTAATCTATCCTAAGAAAGCCAGGCACTATTATAAGTAAGATTGTTTGAAGGAGACACAGAAAAGTCATAGAATACAAACTTTAGCTTATTTCAAAATTTCAAATGCAATGCTAGTTTCTAGATTGATATGATATTCACGTGCATAATAATATCTATACCTAATAATTGAGGTAATGTTTCCTAAAATTATAAAAGGCCAACTCTTCAGGACCTTCGAGAGATGGGGGACTTCACCACGCAACCCCTCAGTTAGGTGATTTTTATTCCCTTAGTATATAGATCCAAATAAAAATCAGATTCCTGATACAACACATGTTCTCATAACAGTAGTTTTCCTTTTTGGAGAAACAGTTGTTATGCAAGACATGGCCACGTTTCTTTGTTTGGGCATCGAACTCTCTAATCTTTTCCATCTCAAATGATTCTGAGATGGAAAAATTAAAAAAAAAAAAAAAAAAACATAATTGTTCGTTCACCCTTTTTCCTGTCAATACTAGATTGGTAGACTCACAAGAACCAAACACATGGAGATGGGTAGGACGAATATGCCTAATCATAGTGATCAGAATTAAATGATTTGACAGTCTACCACACAGAAAGGTTAAAAAACACTTTTTAAACTCTAAACCATTAAAATTAGCCCTTCAATCCTTAAATTTAGTTTCTAACAATAGATCCTTTATGGTTTTTAAATTTATAACAATTATGTCTCTAAATTTCAATATGAAACAATTTAGTGCTTTTAACTCTAGATTTTGTAACACTTTAATCACTCTAGGAAAAAAATTGCACTTAGTATTTGTTGTTTATGAACACATTTAGTCTGTAATCTATAGAGATAAAAAATTATATTAAATCTTTATAATATTTTCACAATAGGAACTAAATTGTTACAATTTTAAAGCATAGAGACTAAATTAGTTGGGCTTTAAAAAAGAGTTTATCTCCATTTAACTCTTTTAAGTTTTATTATCAAATGGCCATATCCAATCACTCGGGAAAAACTTATATTAACAGAGAACATTTCTATAGGATAAGGTTTGGAACACAAGTCTCATACAGTAATCATATCTCAATCATACAAAAAAGTTCAACACTCACAAAAGCATACCAGCTAAAAAATCTGGTAGAACCAGTATTAGATTCGAAGCTACTACTCAACCAATTCTGCGGGAGAAGGAATAACAGGCAAAAGAAAATTTCCAAATGGGGAATCAAGGATTTTAAAATTACCAGTGCAACAATCTTGTTTGGCCTCTGCCACAGCAGAACTCTTATCTTGTAGGATCCTAAATTCACTTCCACTAGCAACAGGACACTGTGCAAATTCAAAGTCATCATAAGCAATCTAATGCTTGATAAATAAGTATGATAGTTTTACTAAGAAAGCAAAACCAAAGAAATAAAAATTCTCACAGTCGAGCCTTTAGTTGAGACTGAAATTCCTTGTCTCTGTACACCAACTGAAGATAAAATTCTGCAATAGATAGGTTTTACGAATGAATTCAACGCAGAATTATTAAAGCAGCTAATACTAAAGTCCGCTGTTCTTTTGATCTTTTATTTCATTGTCGAAACGATCAATTACGAAGGTGCAATCCAATCCAGTAGTTGAGATTATCATCCAAAAGGAAAATATCAAAACAACACACTATTAAATTTTCTCAATCGATAATTTCATCCAAATCCAACACAAACTCCATTTCTTTATCTAACAGCAACTAAACTGAGAAATCTCCACAATTGAAACATCTAGAAGTCCAATCCAGTCTCCTCAGTAGCCTACCAAAATCATCAGCAGTAACTAACATCTTCGTCGTAACCTGAATCTTCAAAATTTAAAACCCTCACATCCTTGGTGTTTCATCTAACAACTCACGACAAAGAAAAATAAACTGAAGCGAACACAGAAGAGATTATCCATTTACACAACGGCGGTGGCCGTCAAGGAGAAACAAGAATTACCGGCGGGACGGCGTATGATCGATTTTCCGCCGCTTGATCTGCGACGAAGGCGCCCTGATTTCCCGGTCATTTCGCGGCTTCGAAACGCTCCTTTCCATTTCCACAGAAGCCCAGTGGATCAGGGCTATGCCAAAGTTTTAACGAACAAAATACAAGAAGATTATATTGGGCCAGGCCCATTCCTCAAACCCTTTAGTTATGGGGAATTGCCAAGTAAGGCCCAAAACAGTGGATCAGGCCTATCCCCATGCCCAATCAAGGGAGAAAAGGCCCAATAAGCCCACTAACCCACTAATGGGACAAGAGGCCCAACAGATGGTAAATGGTTAAATTACAATTTAGTCCCTAAACTCGTATCTCGTAAGCTTAATTCTATTTCAAATAGATTTTTTGAGACATAAAACAAAATTGTGTATCCGATAAAATATTAACATTTAATTTTATTAAATACAAAAATAAAAAATTTAATGACGTATAAACTAAATTTGTAATTTAATCAAATATAACTGAGTTCGATGACTTAGGGACGGTCCCTTAAGTGTCAAGGTATAATGGGAAATGCATTAAATAAGAGATGTGACCCTTTGTTATTTCTTTTCTAAAATATGTTTCGAGTTCTATTCCATCTACTACTTCCCAATATTATATAAATGTTTTCTACACAACGGCCATGTGTTTTGAGAGCCATCAGTTGGTACTCAGGGAGACATATTGTGCCCGTTTTGTGACAATTTTACTATATAATAATTGCTCCCTTTCTCCCATCTAATCATGCATTGCCCTTTCCAATTAATTCACGGCTAAAGTTTCCTGTCTCGGCTTACACGCAGTGGCTTGGTTAAGAGAATCCACTCGAGCTATAGCGAAAGCGAGCCACTTCATGCAGGCAATTGTCACTGCTTATGGACATGAACCCAAATGACCTATCCATAGTTAGGGTGAAACTTCTGTTTAGCTAAATGGAGGTCAGAATCGACCGAAACTTCTCTCATAGGATAATCGTTTGACTCTTATTCACCACTAAGCCAACCCACGATGATTTTCACGTCGGTCGGGCCAATTCTTAGTTGTTTATTCCTTAAAAGAAATATGAATGGAAGATCTACAACTTGGTTTGTACATATTATGGGAAATGTTGCATGTTAGGTGGACAAAACCCACTTTCTCTCCCAACAAATATATGTGCATGTGTTTTTAGGAGAGGGAGAGGGAGAGAGAGAGGTAGAGCATGACATGATGGGAGAGAGAGAGAGAGAGAGAGAGAGAGGAATGTAAGGGGAGAAAGTGAAATAAAAAGTGAAAGGGCTTAAGATAAGGGAACAAAGAGGGAAAGAGGAATAGTGAGAGTGTTCACTCACAAGGACACCACGTGGGATACATGATGCCCTAAAATCAAGTTGTCTTCCCCATTCCCTCTCTTTCTCTCCATACTTATTCGTTTGTATATGCTCGAGAACTCGACCTATATGGGCTGAATTTTTAGAAAATCAAAATTTTGAGTCGGTTCGCAGGTTGACATTTTCTTGATTAGGTCAACTCAACCAACCGGAAGACAGAGTTACTACCAAACTCAACATTACTCTACTTTTAAGATTATTATGAAAATTAAGAATATTCAATATCGGTAACCAATGTTAAAAGATTTGATAATTGAATTTTATGAGATTTTGATTATTAAAATAATATGTACCTAGATAAGTAGAGAACCCAACCCAACCAAAAAAGAATAGAAGGTTAGGTTGGGTTGTGAACTTGGATTGCTCAGAACATCGACGTTGACTCAAAAAAATTTCCTAACATAACCCAACCTAACCGGCTTACATCTAAGGTGTTAATTCTTAATTATGAAAAGCATATTATATTTTCAAATTATTATTTAATTTGTAACCCTTAATTGAAATTTTAGGATGAAAATTGAGTACCCATAGGAGGAGGGGCATAATGAGAATGGAGGTGAAAATAGTGATACAGTCAAGAAACAGAAGCGTGATGTTTTTTGTGCATTTAATGAGCTACCATAGGTCTGTGATGGTGATGGGTGCTACTATGCATACGTTAAGATTAGAACATCCAACAAGTCTTTTGTCTAACGAAAGAAAACTTACGAAAGAAATAGACCAAACATGTCTGATCTTTGGAGACATTTCCCTCAATTTTTAACCCTTTTTTTTAATTATTTCTTTTGGTAACAAAAGTCTATTCCAATTCCAAAATGCCATAAATTGGAAAAATCAACGGAATTGATTGCCACGTTGGCTTGATGGGTGGAAACATAAAATATTCAAAATAAATGATAGACCCACCTAGAAACAGCAATATTAACCAGTTGGTGAAAAACTTTTATTTTTCTACTCAAGTTTATTTATTTAATTCTTCTTTTTTTTCCCTTCACAATTTGGATATTATAAATTTATTTATATTAAAGAAGATATTTCAGATTAATAAATTAAAAAATGGGTTTTTTTTTTCCTTTTTTATGGATGGGATTCCAAAGAGGTTGAAAATATGAAAATGAGAATAATAATTAAAAAACAAAAGGTTATTTTTAAGTTGAGAAATTAAATTGGTTTACAATTTGGTGTAAATTAAGAAGAGTTATGTGTGGGCGGAGAAATCAAGGGTAATTCATCACCCGCAGTACACGTCAGCACGTGGGACCTACAAGCTTGAAAGTCCCAGTCAGTGGTTCCGATCACATACAACATGAGCCCAGCACAACAAACTTGGGCCGACAAGAGCCCCAACCAAAGCCCACAAAACCCAACCCCTAATCTAAATGCAAGCCCAACCGCCACCGGCATTCCGACGCCGTAAAACGCGCCGAGGTTAATATTCGCCGCTGCTGACGGCCGCGCGCTTCCTCTCAATACGCCGCATCCGACTGTCTGCGGGCAGTTTCCGAGCTCACACAGTCCCAAAATCGGCAGTGCCACCGATGTCAGCCGGAGAATCTCGCGGTCGTCGGTAAACATTCTAGCCCACTTATTCCTCATCCCCGTAGCAAACGACGCCGCTCCCAACCCCATCATCGCCGCCATAAACACCGCAACCACGGCGGAGAGCTTTGCCTTCTGTGGCCGGCTCCCGCCTAGCTCGTTCCCGACGCGTGTAGAAACAGCAAATCCAAGAGACGACGGAAAAATATAAATCAACGACGTCGTTTGTATCAATACTCCCATTGAGGCAACGGTTGCTTTGGGGTCCACAAGAAGCCCACACAACACGATCATAATCTCGTACCACCACCACTCCAAGCAAACCGATATACAGCTCGGCGCGGCTAGCTCCAAAAGCGGCTTCCAACCGGTCAAACACTCCCGGCTCGGTGTCGTCCACGTCGGAGCGTGAACACCTGAAACGACGATGTACAGCGCCAGAAAAACCAACACTAAAAAATTCGTAGCCGCCGCCGAGGCTGCCAAGCCAGCTACCCCAAACTTATAATAACTAACCAACAGGAAATTGATCGGCACGTGACATAGAGCCCCCCCGAGTGACGCTAAAGTGAGCGGGACGGTGATGCCCTGAGCGCGAAGGTAAATTCTGATTGGGTTAATGAAAGAATTGGTGACAAGATCCGGGAGAGAGAAAACCAAATAGGTCTGCGCCATTTCTGTGATGGTCGGATCTTGACGAAGGAAGAGGAGGATTTTGGCCATTTTTACCCACAGTAAAGAAATGGGAATTGAACACACAAGAAGAAAAATCACCGAACGGTGAAGGGTTAAAGAGAGGAGCTTCGGACGGTTGGCGCCGAAGGCTTGGGAACAGAGTGGCTCCATTCCTAAAGCCAAACCAGAGAGAACAGAGTAACCAGTAATATTAGCAAAGGCGATGGCAAGTGAACCGGCGGCGAGTTCCACGTCACCAAGCCGGCCGAGAAAAAGCATGGAAATGATTGAACGAGAATAGATTATGAGTGCCGTTAAAGCAATCGGGAAAGCCAATGAGAACAAAGATTTTGCTTCCGTTACAATCTCCGAACATGAGAACAACTGCTGCTTCTGCTGCGGCGGCTGTTTTTTGGGGAAAACATCAAAAAACTGAAGTAATTGCGATGGTGATGGCGGCGGCGGTGGCGGCGGGCAACTGGTTGCAGGGGCAGAGGTAGGATTTGAAATTGAAACACACATGATGATTAATGAAGAGGAATGAAGGGAAGTACTTGTGTGTGTGTTTTTTTTTTTTTTTTTTTTTTTTTTTTTTTTTTTTTTTTTTTTTTTTTTTTTTTTTTTTTTTTTTTTTTTTTTTTTTTTTTTTTTTTTTTTTTTTT